TCTATTTGCATATTAGCCTTTTATAATAAAGGATATATAGGATATGGAGAGGGTGGAGAAGCACAGACATTTTGATTATTAGTTCATATGCCTCCATAAAGAGCAGATACATCCAGGCTCAACTACTATGAGATCACAAACTTTGAACTTGATACTGTGATAAGAGAGAACTTTTTGGGTTATTTTCCCAGAGAAGAGTAAGCATATATTTTGTGTGTGGAAAGAAAGGTAAACCTAATACCTAATGATCAGAAGTGCTGAGGGCAGTAGTCACTAGTCGTCTTACCTGCTCATGCTTCACCCTTTGGGCACTTTTTAGGCTCCTAGTGAGTAATAAGGCTGGCCATGTGACTGGTTTTAGAAAAGGGGTTGTGAACATAAGGGAACACTTAAACATGTATTTGCCATAGTAAGTTTCTCCAATACACTTTTTTTCCCCTAATAAATAGGTTGGCAACCCTTAGCCTGGGTTCCTAAGTAATGATGAGGAGCAAATTCCCCTACAACTCATAATAGACAGGTAACATTAATGAGATAAACCTTTTTGTTTTAAGCCACTATTATTTGGGGGGGGGGTGTATGTTATTGCAGAATATATTTTGTTCCAAATAGCCTATCCTGAACAAAAATAACCTATTTATTGTCTGCCTTCTGTATTAGAAATAGACTTAATGAGAACCAGAATCTTATTTTTCTTACTGCAGTAATATGCCAGAAATTTATCACTACCATTGCTCATAGTAGGTGCTCCATAAATATTTCTAGAATTAGTGGAGGGAAGAATTCTCTTAGCATAATCAAGGTTTTTGTTCTAGTAACAAAACCTGCTAACAAAAATTTCTATATCAGTCAAGATTGGCTCAATTTTGAGAGCACTTGAGATCTTGCTCCCCAGCATATGTTACCAGAAAGAGAGTAATAAACACCAAAATATCAGTGTCTGTAAACAACAAAAGCTTAATTATTGTTTTACTACACATCCGTTATGGGATGGCAAGAAAGCTCTGCTCATGCTAGTCCTTCAGGAAACCAGAGTGACTGTACCCATTGTCTTGATAATTGCTGGTGGCCAACTATCTGGTTCCAACTATCAAGACAATGGGTACAGTCACTCTGGTTCCAGAGGTCCATAGGGTTTTGTGTTGACTCACATTACTTCTCCTCATTGCCAATGTGACTCATGTTACTTCTGTTCATAATGAATAGGCCAAAATTTGTTACATGACATTACTCAACCACAAGAAAGCCAGAAAGAGCAATTCTCTCTTGTGCCCAGGATGTCAGACAAAAGGAAACATTTCTGAAACACCACGAATGCCAAACAAAGTAGGTAATCAAAACAATAAAAGTAATGAAAAATATTTGTAATAAGTGAGATGGAGGGGGAAATAAAACTGGGCTATATGGTAGAAATAATTGTGGGTGGTTTGGGAGGTTTCTCTGAGGGAACATTTGCATTGAAACCTCAAAGGTCAGGAGTGAGCAAGAATTAAAAGAATATTCCATACAATTGGAAACAAGAAGCATAATGGCCCTAGGGTAGAATGAACTTGGTTTTTACTGAAACTGGCAGAAGATGGGATCTATGGTAAACAAAGAAGCAATGTACATAGGTCATGAAAACAGAGAGACCATCAGGGTCAGGGTCAGACCATAAAGAGCCTGGAGAACCAGACACATAATCAGGCTTTTATCCTAAATGCAACAGGAAGCCAATGAAAGATCTTAGGACAAGAAGTACATGTTTATGTTTTAAAAAATTAATTCTGGCTATATGTGGAATTTTTCTGGGTGAAGACTTTCATTTGCATTCCAGGATGATTGACAGAAAAGGGTTATATGACTGCATTTTTTCTATGCATGCTCTTACCCATAATGCATATAGAGAAACCCACGAGGAGGTCAAAACTGTAATACAAACTTTATTATAATTAGTCCAGGACCCTAGTAAGGTTGCATTGAGGTCATGTCGTTTTCCTCTGAGCTTGCACCAAGAACTGGCTCATTCCAAACTTGCCTGGAACAAATGGTAAAAAAAAATAAAAATAAAAAAATATTAAAATTTTTTAAAAAATTAAATAACAACAGCAGCTTTGCGTTTTATAAAGCAGAACTTTGGGGGAGGTGGAGGGACAAGAGTCATCTTAGTGATGTGATCTTAAGCTGTTAGGAACTAAGTTAGTGTTTGTTCAAGTCTTTATAGACCGAGGATGAGGCCTAGTTGGGAAGAGGGTTCCTAGTTAGTGTTGGGTCACAGAGACAGGGAAGACTAAGCAAAGCTAGGTTTAGAATTTAGAGGAGACAATCCTATTTTGGGTATGTTAAGTTTGAGACATTCTAATGGATCATATAGAAGTTTGAGCTGGAACTATAAATCAAGAGCTGTCTATACCATATTTTCCCATGTATAATACACCACCATGTATAAGACACCACCCACTTTTCCAACCCAAAAATAAGAAATCAGTATTTCAAACACAAAACAGAACATACCTTTATTTAGTAATTACCGCAGGTAATGTCTATATGCCAGTACTATGATATTATGCATCATATCACTTTATCACTGCTCTCTTCTTCATCACTATTAGTTCCAGATATATTAATTTCTTCAATTTCTATTTTATCACTGCTGTCTTCTGAGTCCTTGTCTATATATGTGAGATTGTCATCATCTACTGGTGGCATTTTCTGAGCTAGCTTTATTTGTGTTCTCATGGCCAACCTCATGAAATTGAAGCACCATTTTGCCTTTCCTATAAAATCAACAATGTTCATTTCACTTGCAAACATTCTTGCCTGACATTGAATAGGCTTTGTTGACACACAGAAGCCACTCTGGCACTGCTCCATAATTCAAGTCTTCAGCCTCTGCACCAAGTTTGCCCATTGTGCTGGTTTTCCTCTTCAGGCCTTCTTCTTTTTTGGCATCTGAAGGAGTTGTTCTTCCTGTTTTCTCCACTGTCTGACATCTACTCAGAGGAAGGAGGTCAAAACTGTCTCTCTGCAGCTCTATTTCTATGCTCTTTGGCATAGCTGATTACATCTGGTTTGAATTTTGCAGAGTAAGACAATCGCTTACCAGTATTTATCTTTTTATTTTTTGGCATCTTTATGGACTCAGAACGCTCAGGTCCCTGTTGCATCTGCGCACTCTCCACCTCCACCTCCAATTGTGGCATTAGCTAATGTTGGTAACAATAAGGCTCATGATTGGAGGAAGCCTATTTGACAAGGTATGGGCAGCTAGCACCTTTGTGGCTCCTTCCTCTGCTGACTTCCGTGTATAAGATGCCCCTCCATTTTTAGTCTAACGATTTTAGAAATAGTGTCTTATTCACAGAAAAATACAGTAACTCAAAGTTCACACAGGTCAGAGTGGGAGGCAAGAGAAGAGATGAAGACCTGGAGATTTGCCTAACATATTGCTCCTTGAGATTTGTTTCCATCATCTTTAGGTATAAAGTTTTATTTCTAAAGGTCACAAAATAAAATGAACAGAAAAACAATGGTATTGTTAAATGTATGAAGATTTCCTTCTGATTTCAAACCTCCTCTATTTGCTATTTCTAAATGATAGTCCTAAAATTACATTTATTGAACACTATTATTACCCCCATTTTAATTAGAAAACTGAACATCCTTATAAGTATTGTGAAGTCAGTTTGCCAAAGGTGACACAAAATAAGTAAGGGTTGGGTCCTCTATTCAAAACTAATCAATCTGGTTCCAAGTCTGTTCTGAACCCTTATACTATATGGCAATAAGCATGATAAAGTAGTTTGGCTTAATAAATAGTAGTCTTTATACATGTATAATCTTTCCAATAAGAGTTTTATTGGACCTTACTATGGTCATGTGTGTATATCTGGATTATTAGGGTTGAAGCATAATTCCCCTGGTGTCTGTGCCTCGAGGTACTAGAGACAAATTCTGGGAAGAATAGACTGGCTTCACTAGACCAGTCTTGAAGTTTCAAATCTTTTTTTTAAGAACAAATGAACATAAAATATTAAAAATGCAATTGTACGGAACAGTTAGGTTTGCTGTGCCCTATGGCACCAAACTGAAATCCTAGTCGTGGAACATAACTGCTCTCAGGAAGATGAATAAAGTTTTCCCCCAACACACATTAAAGTTTTTCCCTCCACAGAAATTATACATAGTATTGACATGCTAAATACAGTAAGTATTAAAAATGTCCTTGCACACCGGAATTAGTTTATTTCATCTCTTTCTTTTTTTTTTTTTCTCCTTCTTCCTTTATTATTTTCTTTTCTTACTATATCCTAGCAGTCTTAGGAGCCCAAGAGATGCTAACAGCTCAGAAGAGAAGGAGAGAAAGAAAAGAAAGAGGAGAGAGAACTAGACAGTTCTACTGGAGACTTTCAGGTGAGCAAGATGCCTTCCAAGTTTTTCTGTTGTTTTTACTTTTTCCCTTTTATGGTGTGCAGGAACGTCCTGATCCCATCAGCAATACAGGACGCTTAACTCTCCCTTCACAATCTCACTCTGGGATTCCTGTCCTCTGACGCCTGGCCTCCTGGCCCGCCCACCCCTCTCTTCATCCCTCCTCCCTCCCCCCTCTCCTCCTCTCTCCACTCCGGCTCCTGAGGGCCGGCCCAGACACCGCGCCTGCGCACACGGGCGGCTCAGCCAGGGCCCCGGGGCGGGGTCTCGGAGCGCTCGGAGGGGAAAAAGGAAGAGGAAGTTGTGGGCGGGCCCTGGCTGGGGGAGTGAACCGGAAGTGCAAGCGCCCGGGCTGCTCCTCGGCCAGGCGGAACCTGCTCTGTCGGGCCCAGTGGCTGCAAAAGAACTTTCTCCCGCCCCAACTGTCGCCTGGGCCAAGCGCCTCGCCCTCCTGGCAAGCCTCCCCCGCCGGCTCCGCTCTCCGCTCGGCGCGGCCCGGCTCCCTCTCGCCCGGCCGGACCCGCTCGCTCCCGCCGCCGCCGCCACCGCCTCGTCTGCTGCCCGGCCCGGCGGCCCGCCCCGCTGCAGTGATGTGCGACAAGGAGTTCATGTGGGCCCTGAAGAACGGGGACCTGGACGAGGTGAAGGACTACGTGGCCAAGGTGAGCGGGCGGCCGGCGGCGGCGGCGGGATGGAGCGGAGGCTGGGGGAGCCGCGGGGAGCGGGGCCGGCGGAGGCGGGGAGCGGGCGGGGGCGGCCGGGGCGGAGGTGGCCCCGGGGAGAGGCCGGCGGGGGCCGCCGTACCTGGAAGGAGGGTCGGGATGGATCGCGGGGGCGCGTTCCGTGTCAGGTAGCGGCTGGGGCTGCACCCAGGGGCGCCCATGCTTGCCGGGCCCTTGGGGGAGGGGAGGCGTGGTAACGGGCGCCTAGCCTCCCCCGGGAGCGCTGACCACTCGAGGCCGGCCCAGCCTCTCTTCCCGGCCAGAGTTGTGACTCCAATCTGTCTGTGAATGAAGTGCGTCTCCATCTTGAACCTGCCCTTGACTGAATGAAGGGACTCAGTGATTAGAATCAGAGGAACTTTTTTTTTTTTTTTTTTTTTAAGCCGTGGGCCGTTAATGAGTGTAACGTATTCAGTGACCGTGAAAAAAAAAGGGGGGGGGGGAAAGGAGGGGAACCAGAGGGCGGGGGGGAAGTGGGGTACCAGAAATAGCAATGGTTAAACTTAAGAAACTTGGTATCACTTCACCCTCGAGCCTACACTTTGGGTGTGGCCTTTTCCTCTCTCTCTCTCTCCTCTCCCCCCTCTACAGCAAATACTTCCATTTGCTTCAAGTGGGGAGTTTTCGGCAGCGTTGAAGGTAATCTAAGTAGCTTTCGCACAAGCACGTTCACTTGATTCTTTCTTCCGGGTTCCGTCTGAAATGCTTACACGTGTGGTAGCAACGCAGTTTGAACCACAGTGTGCTTGAGGGTGGTGGAATCGCGATGAGGACAGTCCATCTCAAAACTAAACTCAAAATACAAAAAAACAGAATCCACGTTGTGGGAGATGGGTACGATTCTAAGCCGGCCTGTCTTCGGACCTTAAAATTGTGCCTTTTCGCTATGAGAGAACTTACACACGTGATTCTGGTAGAAATCTTCTAAAACAAAAAGTATTTAATTTTATTCCTTAACCGCGAGGGCGTCTCGCTCACCTGCAAGTGTGAGAACCCCATCCAGGTTTTAGTTCTTCAGGGGGTGTGACCACTGACTGATGGGGTGCTGTGTTTTGCTTCAGAGATCTGTTAGGAAGCAAGTCAGTAGAGGCAGAGTTTCTTATACTTGTAGGCTTTTGCAAGGTAAACTACTGATGGTTTTCTCTCTCTCTACCACTACAATTCGGCCTTTTCGCATGCAGCTTAGTTGTTTGCTATCCACCACCTCTCAGGTAGTGGCAGTCTGAAACCTGACTTACTGGATATTAAAATGTAAATTTAAAGGGGAGAAATTACTTGGAACACTTCAGTCTGTGGTGCCCTTTCCGGTGGCGGATACTGCAGTACTCTGGAAGTGAGTGAGCTTTCGTGTTTGTGGTGTTACTGTGGAACCTTGAAATACGAAAAGTTGATAAAAACTGAGCTTACACTTACAAAAACTAACACAATTTATGTAGTGTCTTCCCGACACTTTGTTTTTATGTTATCGTCCTTGTCAACCTTGTGAAGTAAAGGCCTTTCGTTAGTTCCATTGTACAGATAAGATTACTGAGATGCAGGGTACTTAAGGAAAAAAAATTCAAAGTTGCAGAGATGCATGATGCAGCTAGAACTGCTGACTCCAAACGTAGCCTCTTTGCTCCCTGCATTCTCTTATTATCTAAAGTGTAGTTGCAAAGCATCTGATACCAAGATTTCTAGAAGGACATTCCCAAGGTCCATGTCCAGGCAGATAACTTGTACAGAGTTGTCAATCACACAAACACACTTATGAAAAAATAAGTGCCAATAACAAGGGATTCATTTATTTTCAGTTTTTTAAATTAGGTCATTATGTTCAGTTTGATTTTGGCTTTTTCCTAATGTACGTTACTGCCTATCCTCATTAACAAAAAAGATGTGCACAAAAAGGAGAATAGACATTCAAAGAAAAGTAAAAGGAAGTATTAAGAACTTTTTATCCAAAAAGGTTGGACTGTAACGTAATCCTATAAAACAGATCATTGAGCTTTTTCCTTTCTTAGTTTTTGTTTTGTTTTGTTTTTTCCCCCATATGGTTTTACTGACTTCAGAGAGAGGGAGAGAAAGATAGAAACATCAATGATGAGGGAGAATCATTGATCAGCTGCCTCTTGCATACCTCCTACTGGGGACTGAGACCATAACCCGGACACGTGCCTGACCTAATAAGCAAACCATGATTTCCTCATCTGGTTCATGGGTCGATTCTCAACCACTGAGCCATACCAGCCAGGCATCCTTTCTTACAATAGTTTTTATTAACTTGAGTCTCTTAAAATATTTCTTGCTTTGTTAGTGAAAAATAACAAAAAATAACCCAAACCCAACTTGTAGGAATCTCTTTCACGTCCCGCGTGGAAAGGATTCCAATTCAGGGCTCGGGTTCTGGAGAAGGGCCGCACACAAATGAAAAGAGACTTGAAGAAATTCAATTTGGCGATATAAGGGGCCTGGCGGTAGTCCAACTCTAGTGGGAGAACTACTCTCTGCTCCAGGTCCTGCCATCCCTTTTATTGAGTCTTTGGGAAAAACATCTTAGGCAAGATAAATAAAAATTTACATGTAGCCCTTTGGCAGGAAATAACAGAAACTTACATGGGACAAACAAGGTGCAGGCTGCTTCAGCTAACAATGTCTCAACTAAAGAAAGGGTGAGTGGTTAGAGCAATTAAGGTTGTTGACCAGCCTTCCTGGCTTCCTGTCAGCATCTCTCCTTTAGTGAAACTGATTTGTTTTCTGCACTAACTCTAGTTTTTACTGACTGAGCTTCCTTACTGTACCTATTCACTCTCAAGTCCTCAGAACAGGGGTGGGGAACCTTTTTTTTCTGCCAAGGGCCATATGGATATTTATAACATCATTCGTGAGCCATACAAAATTATCAACCTAGAAATTAGCCTGCTGTATTTGGTCAAACATTTAATTAGCTCACATTCTCCTAATGCTTGGACGGGCCAGACCAAATGATTTCTTTGGCTTATACAGCCCTGCCGGGGGTGCCTTAGAACATGATTTCTCCTGCCCAGAGCCTTCCCCCTGCTTATTCATTGACTCACCCTTTTTATCCACCAATTAGTGAACACTTGTTACCATTTTCTGAGTTTATGTAAGTTCTATGCAAAGGAATTATATTTTTAAAAGTTGAACTTGTCTCATTTTTCTCCTAAGAGGTTAAGAGCCTTTAAAATACTCTCCCATGTTCTCTTGTGAAGATCTCATTATTAAGTGAAATATTTTAATAGGTTCCCTTTTTTAAACTTATATTTTTTAAATCAATAATTGTATTTTTCTACCTGCTTCTGACTTTTACACAGAAATGTAAAGTATGGTTAGGCAAAAGTTGTTGGTTTGGGTGAGTTCCTGAACTCTGAAAAATCAGTTCAGAATTCCCAAACCACTGAAAACTGTATAGTTCTAAATGGAAAAAGAAAAACAGCAAATAAAGAAAATTCCCTATTAAATGTTCATCGGTAACATTAAAACAATACCTGAAACATTTTGGCTTTTTGATTGACCTTTCAAAGACCATATTTATTGGTCTGAGGGACTTTGATGGTAAAGAAGTTAGACACAATGCTTCTGAAACTGAAGTGTCTTTATTCAGCAGACTATGTGGAAAAGCTATCATACTTTAAAAGTAGTATCTAAGTAATAAGTAACATCCAACACAAAATTTAGTTTATCCAATTGGGAGAGGAGTGAAAGCTAACAATAATAGATACTCATAGCCCTATTTTTAATTTATATGCTTCCTCTGAGGGACATTTTTGCCTTCATCTTCCATTTCTGCACTTATGCTAATTTCTCCTGTTGGAATTAATTCAGCTCTCTTACCTGAGCTCCAGAATGGATAGTTCTGTTTGATAAATTCCAAATTGAGGGTTCATTTTCTTTTCAAAAATTATTTCTGTGGCTCCATTTTAACTAATGGCATCATGACCTAACCATTTGTCCAAACTAGAAATTGGGGGTATTTTCCCAATTTCTGAGCGGTATCAGGACTACCTTCATAGACTCTCATTCTCTCCTTATTCCCCATCCTTATTGCTACCATTTTATATTAGTTGTTGCCTCTTTCTTGCCTGGACGCTATTTTCCTTGTCTAATTTTTCCCTCCTTCCAGGTCAATTGCATGTTTTAGTTGGAGAGCTCTCTACAATGTAAATCTGGGCATGTTATCTTTTCAGTCCCTTAAAATACTTTTGTGATTCCCACCCCATCTTTTTTTTTTTAATGGTCTACTCCTCCTTTGTTTGGCATACTTGGCTGTTCCAATCTGGCCTGTTCCTGCCTCTCTACACTCTGCTCCAGATTCTGCCATGGTGTTTCTTGTACTGTATATGTGCAGTCATCCTCCTTGACTAAGTCTGTTCACCTCAATTCCTAACTCCCAACCTGGTGAGCTTCTGTTTATCCTCTTAGCTTAAATATCACCTCTTCCAGAAAATATTTTGACTTCTAATGATGTGCTGCTGCTTTTAGTGTTTCACTTATCAAATTGCTATGATTTTGTCTGCATGTCTGTTTTCAATTAGGCTCTAGCTTCTGGAGGGTAGATGTTACATTCTTTTTCATGTCTGTATCCCCAGTATAGTGCCAAGGAATTTCACACATTAAAAGCATATGTTCCAAGGAAGAAATTCTTCTTATTCGTCACTTAGCTACAGTTATAACATACTTCATTAGTTATATAATGATAATTACCATTGACAGGATGACTTATGTTGCCAAATACTATAAAGTAAGTGCTCTGCAAGATTTTTACCTAAGTTTTTATTTGCTTATTACCACAGCATTTCAATATAGGTAATAGTATTCCTATTTTAAGGATGAGGAGATTTAAGGGTTGAATTTAGAGAAATTAAGTAACTTAACAAGGTCACTAAGTAAGTAGCACAACTGGGATTTAAACCATGAGCTGTCTGAATTTGCAGTCCGTA